GCCTGGCCATTTTTTGGTTGCAGCCATCACTGTTGTTTGGCAGGCCCGGGCTGGGGATTTGAACCCGCCATCTTAGGTGTATGTGGCTGGCGCCTTAGCCGCTTGAGCCACAGGTGCCAAGCCGTATTTGTCTTTTTATTACTGGCTTATTTTACTTAGCATAATGTCCTCAACATTCAACTATGATATAGCACGTACCAGGATTTCCTTCCTTCTGAAGGCTGAATAATACTCCATTGTACATATGAAGATAGTTACACATACGACATTTTGTTTATCCATTCATCCATTGATGGACATTTAGGTTGTTTATACCTTTTAGTTGTCATGAGTGATGCTGCTATGAACGTGGATGTACAGCTACCTCTCTGATTTCCTGTTTTCACTTCTTTTTTTTTTTTTTTTTTTTTTGCAGTTTTTGGCCAGGGGTAGGTTTGAACCCACCCACCACCTCTGGTAAATGGGGCAGCCCCCTGCTCCTTTGAGCCACAGGCACCATCCCCTGCTTTCAGTTCTTTTGGGTATATACCCAGAGTGGCACTGCCCAATTATGAGGAAATTCTTTTTAATTTTTGAGGAACTGCTATACTGTTTCCACAGAGACTGCGACATTTTACATTCCCACCAGCAGTGCGCAAGGATTCCAGCTCTATCACATTCTTGTCAACACTTACGTTTTTTGATGACAGCCATCCTAGTGGTTTTAATTTGTGTTTCCTTAGTGATTATTGATATTGAACATCTTTTCGTGTGCCTTTGGACATTTGCATATCTTTGAAGAAAAGTCTGTTCAAGCCCTTTGCCCACTTCTTTCACATTTATGTTTTTATTATTCAGGATAAGTGGTATTTCATTTTAGCCTTTTTTTTTTTTTTTTTTTGACACAGAGTCTCACAATGTCACCTTCGGTAGAGTGCTGTGACATCACAGCTCATAGCAACCTCAAATTCTGGGGCTTAAGCAGTTCTCTTGCCTCAGCCTCCCAAGCAACTGGGAGCCAGCCACAATGCCTGGCTATTTTTTTGTTGCAGTTGTCATTGTTGTTCAGCTGGCCCAGGCTGGATTCAAACCCACCAGCAAAATTGCCAGCCTGGGTGTATGTGGCTGGTACTGTAACCACTGTGCTATGGCCGCTGAGCCCATTTTAGCCATTTTTAAGTATGTAGTTAGGTAATATTATATACATTCACAGTGTTGTGCAATTGTCACCACTATGTGTCTCCAGAACTTTTTCATCATTCCATACTGAAACTCTGTGCCCTTAAATCTTTTAACTTGCCACTCCTCACTTCCCAGCCACTGGAAACTATCATTCTTACTTCTGTCTCTACGAATCCAACTATACTGCATACCTCATCTCAGTGGAATCCTGTGGTATTTGTCTTTTTATTTTTATTTTTATTTTTTTTTGAGACAGAGCCTCAAGCTATCCCCCTGGGTAGAGTGCCATGGCATCACAGCTCATAGCAACCTCCA